TCTGTGTGTCTTTGTCCCCAGGGCAACACTGGTTTACATAACTTAGCACCTGTTGACTCATATTTTTGCTGCTTAGGACTGTTCAGGTCACTAGTCCCACCTGTCCATCTTGTGTGCCCTACTGGGGACTCTACTATAGTGGTCACTGGTATCCCTCTGGCCTTCCCTTTAGGTCCACCTTAGTCATGGCAGCAACAAGGAGAGGGGCTGTTCTCTAGGGGCACAGCAGTGATGGTGGGGATGGGAGAAGCCCTGCTCCATGTCCTGAAAACAATTACCATTGTAGTAGTAATTGTGGTAATATTGATGAATGATAATTTAGGGCCCACTAGCTGTTCTAGGAATATCTCTTTATTTAATCATTATAAAACACGCTTGAGTGTTCAAGTACAACTGCACTTAACACATGAGAAGTTGAGGCAGGAAAGAGCGAACTGACTTTCGCAGTTATACGGAATATGTAGCACTATTTATTTACTTATTGGTACTGGGGATCAAACTCAGGGCCTTGTCCCTGTTGGGCAGGCACTTATGCCACTGAACTATCTCCCGCCCCCAAAGCACTATGTATTTAAACTTCATCATTGTGATCTTAAAAATGAGATTTTCTGTTTTAATCTGCATTTTTCTCTCCAAGGAGGGCCGGTGTCATTTATGTTTCTTCCTTAATGAACATCTTTTGAATACTCCTTTATCATTTTCTCAGGGATTTTTGTTTGTTCTTATTAATTTGTAAGAGGCTGCAGACACCATTCTAGATGGTGTCTGTGGCATATGCGTGGAGCACACCTCTCCTTATCAGTTATCTAGGTTTGGCAGCTTTTCACAAGTAGCAATTTGAATATTTCTTTTAAAGTCTTCCAGTTTTACCTTACAATCCCTGCCCTTGTTGATGTAACTTACCTGAAACTTCTATGCAGCCTATTGGTGTTAAGCATGAACACTTTCTGCTTTCAGTTGTACTAAACTTGTATCTCAAGACGATGTGACGAGGCAGCAATTCAGTAGAACTCGTCTATATGAGTAGACAAGTCCCCAAAGAGAATTTACTTAATAATAATTGCTGCCTGACTGTTCCACATGCACATCTTCATCCATGTAAAAATATTCTGTAACCTTGATCTCTTTCCATTGGGCCCCACAGATCTTTCTCTCTTTCCCTGGCCTCTTTCCATTACTGTAGCTTTCATATTCTGGTAGAATTAGTTTCATATTCTGGTAGAATTAGTTTCTCATTTGACATTTTAAAAAGAATTCCATTCCAAACCCATGAAACAGAGATACTCTCCTCCCTCACTTTTAAAACACTGCCCTGTGTCTGAGGAGAGATCTTCCTGGCTCCAAGTAGCAGGATAAGAGAACCGGAGAGACTGTCCTTCACATATCCTGGGCCTCTGCTCTCTGGCTGCTCTGGCACTAGCCCCTGTCCCCTGTCCTCACTGTTCCTGGGAGCAGAAGAAAAACAGCCCAATTCCTTACCTGTCCGACGTCCCAGAAGTCACTACACCAGAGATGAATTACCTGAGAGGCCAAAACCATGTGTTGTAGTCTGATGTTTGCAAATGAAACAATTATATAGAGGACATGGAATTTATAGGACTATTTTATAGTAGTCACTCAAAGAGTTTAGTATAAATGAGTGAAGGAAATCTGTCCACACACTAAAGACCAAAATAATCCAGCTAAGGGCCTGGATCTCATGTGCAATGCACTGCCTGAGTCCACCTAAAAATCTAGAGCCCATAAAAATGCCCATTATGAGTCTAATTGGAGGCCTGAAGCCAACAATAATGTCTCCTATAGGCCCATTTCATGGACGTGCTCTGGAAAGGCCCAAAGGTCAGGGGTGGATGTTAGAAAGTCTGTGCCAGTGTGATGAAGGATCTATGCCAGAAGCCTGAGGAATCTATACTAGGGTTAGGAAGCAACATTCAAAAGTAAAAACCAGATCTCCCCCCAAAATTACAGCTCTCCTCAGCATTAGCAAGGTCCTGAGCTCCTCTAATGATGAGAGCAGCCGAGTACACACCAGGAAAGCAAATGCAACAAACTTCTCTAGAACATGGAGCAATGCACTATCTTCCCCTCTGAAGCCAGGAATCAGTACCAGTCAGGACCAGAGCTCCCCTTAAGTGAACTGTAGCCATTCTCAGTGACAAGAAGGCCCTGAGCTCCTGGGACAATGAAAACGGCCAAGTTCATATCAGTAAAACCAGCATGACAATGCCTCCAGGAGAACCACAAGCTCCCAAAGGCTTCCTAGCAGTACCTCTTCCTCTTCTCCAGTTCTCATTTTTATTTTGTTGGCACCAGTCCTCAGGCTGGGCTCCCACACCCAGCACCACGCGGATTCAGTTCAGCTGGGTGTTACAAGTGGACCTCCAATTGACAATCTACCCCATGATAGGGACAGTTCCACCACATGCCTTTAAGCTTCTTTTAATCGCGTATTTAATTGATTAATAGTGGTGGGAGAAAATATGGCTAATTACCTATAAGTGCTATCATTATTTTGCTATATTAGTTTGAATTCTGTTTTTCTGTCAATGAACCCAAATGAAATGTAGTTACTTTAACTATAGATTAACTCTACTGAGTGATTAATTTTAGAAATAATTTTATTCCACATTATTATGCAGGTACAGAATTAAGATTTTTAAAAAGGTATCTACAGACAACTCATACCTGTGAAGGGCTCTGCTCTTTCTGATCTTCCAGGTTCTCCCAGGTCACTAACAATGGTCACATCCTGTGTGCCCCACTTATTCTGTATGTTTGAATGACAGAGTCAGCTTAGGCTCTTTCTCAGGTCCTAGGACAGCTCTGAGCCTGCTCTTCTAGGCCAGGGCAGCTCCTGCAGATCCCAGGGTCATGTTACCAGGTTCTGCCTCCCAGATCTTCACTCAGAGTCTGCTGATCCTTCCTGTACCCCTCTCACCCTCTGCGTGGCCACCCCAGGGGCCTAGGTCTGGGGGTCCTCGAGCAGTTAGTTTCCTCTAAGACAGGTGTCAGAGGACATAAGAGGACACACTTCTCCCTCACCGAAACCTTATGTCTAGTCTGCAGACCTAGAGGATCTGGATACAAATCTTCCACAACCCTCCTGATGGTTGAAATGTCAGAACCTTCTACTACTCCTGGAGCAAGAATCTCTCTTAACATTTTTAAAGTTCGTTTAATTTAGACTAATAGGATTTATAGCACCATGGGGAGAAATTTGCATGGTTTCTCATAAATCTACCAATTTTTCCATACAACCCCTGCTCCAGGTGATGTATCTCTCAGTAATTTGTGTGCAAATTATGAATGATAAATCGGAATGCTTGGCACTTACATTTTGATTGCACCTAAATGCTATTTGCAAATGGTGAAGTGTTGATTCAAGAGGACGTGTTCCCATACAGTGACACAATTACCGGAGGAGAATTTATTGAACACCTAATCAGCCTCGCTGCTCTGAAGGTACAGCTCAGCTTATATTAATATCTTATGCACCTGTGTATCTTTCTGGATTCTTTCTCTGTTAGCCCCAGTGTTGGCTACTTTTAAATGCTTAGCTTTCGTACTCTGATGGAGGTAGTTCCTATTTGACATTTTGGTTGTGTGATTTGACTTTATGGGCATACTTGTTTAAATGAATCTCACCCTTTGTTTTGTTGTGCTCTTTATTGTGACAGCAATACCCTCCTCCCTCACTTACAGACCAGGAGGCTGTCCCAGGTAGACACCCTGGTTCCAGAGAGCAGTGAGTGAAGACCCACAGGACCATCCTGCCCATGGCCAGCCCTCTGCTCTCTGCCGCTTCAGTGTTATCCCCTGTCCCTGCACACATGGTTCCTTGGGGCAAAGGATGAACAGCACAAATTTTGACATGTGTGTGTTCCCTGAAGTCACCACAGCAAAAGATAAATTACCCGAGAAAAGCCAAAACCATGACTGGCAACAACATGTCTTCCATATTCCTTTTATGGATCTTTAAGCATATATTTAAATTTACTAATAAATGAGGGTACCTGGATAATCACCTTTGAGTGTTACCATGTTTTGTTATACTAGTTTAAACCTCTGGCTTTCTATCACAGAGTCCAAATGAAATACAGAGGTCAGGACACTCTGCGAGTACAGGTTAATGGGCGGAGAGATGTGTTCAACATGCACTCATTGAACACCTACCCAAATGGGAAGGTAGAGGAGAGGCAGGGAGGCGTGGGTGATGGCGGGGAGGGGGTGAAAATGATCAAAATTTGTTACTTGCATGTGTGAATCTGTCGAAATGAAATCAATTATGTATGTAAACAATATACTCAGATAAAAAGGGAGAGTAAAACTATATGAGTTGCCAACGTACACTTTTACTTTGTATGGAATTAAATAGGTATCGAATATTTCTTAGAACCAAACCCTTTGAATTTTTCAGCTAAATCTTGGTAGCCCACCTGAAGATCCTTTTGACTCACGGATAAAGAGAGCACCTAACAAATTGAGCTGTGCATGTGCGAACAGGGCATTTTCACTCTGCCCAGCGTCACCTGCATCAGCATCATCGACTCTGGTGTCTTTTAATAATGTGGATACAGGGATTATCCGATGTGTGGTTGGTGACTGCCCCAAACTCTACTCACACAGGTGACTATACCAAGATAATAAAGAAAAATTTTCATCTCGCGACAAGAACATGACGGCAGCATGAACAAAGGAGGCTACACTGTAATGAAGTCACTGTTCCCACAGGGACAAGGCCGAGTGATGCAGACTGAACCTCACAACACGTGCACACTCAGTGAGCCTCAGTCCGGGAGCTCTCAGGGCCTCAGGATTCTCTTCCTCCGGTGAGGACTTGCTGCCGGCGACCACAGGGCGGCGCTGCAGGAGCGCGCAGACGCCTAGAGGCAGGGGCTGCTCCCAAGCACCGCCCCTTTCGGTCACCAGCTGGATTGTCTTTTAAGAACGTTCCTCTGCTACTTCTCCTGCCTGTCTCTGTCAAGAAGACCAATGCAAACTCACTCTTGTGAGGAGCCCTTCATGTTCAGTAGGATTGGTGTTTGGAGAGGGCTTTCTGGTCTCATTTGGTCTCTCTCCTTGTAAGAACCAAGATAAGTTTAGCCATGCTGTGGGCGGGGGCCCTGCTTCTAGCTTTCCTGCCAGCTGGTAAGTGGGGGGCATAGTTGCTCTTGAGATATTTTTCCTCCAGGCAGGCCAAAGAATGCCATTAACTCTAATATTGTGCTGTTTCCCCAGCAGGCAGTCAAACACCTTCCAACATGGAAGGGGGAATGGTCTCAGTCACCAGGAATCCTGGGTCACATCTTACAATCAGTTGTGACCTGCGAGCAGGAAGGAGTTACACTCACTGGTACCGATTTCAGGAGGGGCAGGTCCCCCAGCGCCTTCTCTATTATGACTTCTCCAGCTCCAAGGCTGTGCTGGATTCGGGATTCAAACCAGGGAAATACAATGCTTACCAAGCTACAGAGCATAGCAACAAATTTGTACTACGGAGTGTGGAAGAAGGTGATGCCGGTGTGTACTACTGTGCAGTGTGGACAGGCACAGTGCTTCACACCTGCTCTGTGCTACACCCAAAAGTCCGCTTGTGGCTGCTCTTGGTACCCAGACTAGATGGGCCCCCAGCTCACTTCCTGTGTTAATACACCCTACGTTGTTATCTACTTCTGCCTGACCAGGGGACTGTTTAATTTGTACCATACCTTTGCCGGAGGTGTAGTGTTTTTGTGATAATCACTTCAGATCAACTCCAGAAAGAGATAAAATTGTTTGAAACAGCTTCATTCAACAGTGTTATAGAGGTATAAATTGAAAGTAAACATTTGTATTCACATCCTCTCATGAATATGTATGAGGGAGAACCCTCTGTTTTGTGTTTCAGGCTTTTCTATGTCACTAACCATGGTAATCTTGTGTACACTGAACTAGTTCTAATAGTGACAGCATCAGTTTAAGCTTCTGCTCAGATGCCAGGATGGCCAGGAATATGCTGTTTCTATCAGAAGCAACACATCATACCAAGGGGTCACGTGAAAAGTCTCGACCCTCAGCTCCCAGCTCTTCACTCTATATCTTCCTGATCAACATCTGCTGGTCCAAACTCAGCATGGACCCACTAAGAGGCTGAGCTCTAGGTCCTCCAGAGTGCTCTGCCCTAGAGAACAGGTTGTCCCTGAGGAAAACCTTATGCCTCTCCTATAGATGACAAAGGTCTGGACTATCTGGATTTGAATTCTCCAAAACCTGAGGGCTCAGAGCTTGTGACCTCCTGCCTCTGCACTGGTTTTTGCCTCAAATTTCTCCTAGCAGTATCTTCAAGATGATTGGCGTAGATTCATCCAGCGGATGGCACCACTGGGAGACCGGAATATCCCAGAGAGAGAAGTGGAGGGGAAGAGACCAGACATCACCAGAAGGGAGTGTGGGGCTGTAAATAGGCAAATTTTATTAAAATATGTGCAGCTATTGCCACCTGGAGTCAGGTTTGTAATGAGGAATCACTCAATATTAAGACCATAAAGACAGCTCAGAGAAACAAAAATCGTGACACAAAATACAATTCATTTTGTCAAGCATATATGCAGTTAATGGGCTTTTTCCTTCAAAGTAATATTTTCTTATCGCTAAACACCTAAAAAGGAAAGGAAAGGCTGGGGTGATAGCTCGGTGGTAAGGATCCGGGTTCAGTGCCCAATACTGCATACGATGCTGTCCCCAGAACCCTGGGCCTGCCATGCTGGCCCCCAAAATCAACACTGTGGCACATGCCTGTAATCCCAGTGCTGGGGGTGCTGAGAATAGAGGATCACTATGAGTCTGAGCTGTGTACTTGGGCCCTGTACCAAATAAATAAATAAATACATAGTTGAAAATTATTTAAAATAAATAAAAACATTTTAAGTAAAGGAAAATATAAGTCAAACAAAATTCTCCATCTTCCTATTAGTCCATACCTCACCGTCTATTCAGTTGGTTTTCCAATCCTGAGTTGTACTCTATAGACATCAGCAAAGCTAACAGTTCCTAACACATACAAATGGTAAAGCTTCATAGCCCTTTACTAAGCAATTCTGTTTGGCTGTTTTCTGGGACTGAACCTGGAACCTTCCTGCCCACTGCACTATATTCCCAGTCTTTAATAATATATAGTTTTAAATTTTAAGACAATGTCTTGTTAATTCTTTGGTTGCTCAGTCTGGGGCTCCAAATTTCCATCCTCCTGTCTTGGCCACCCAAACGCTGAGACCACAGGTGTGTCCACCACGGCAACTCATATTATGCTTCGCGTGTGCTCTGGGTTGGCCACTTGTCTTGCCCCTCAGGACCTGGGCTGGTCCAGTTTTTTGCTGCGCTCCAGGAGATGCCCGGACAGTTTACAGAACCAACCATGAGCTCTGTGTTTCAGCCTGAGATGAACTTTGGCAGGGTAGGGCTTAGTGTTGGCACAGCCTGCTATCAGGAGACAAGGGATTTGTGGAATCCACAGATTTCTCACCTCCAAAAGCAAAGAGACTCCATTGCACTAAATGTCATCATGGGTCTAAAGCAGAAGGTCGTGGCAGGCCTGACCTATGTCCTAGAGTTCTGGTGGCCTAGAAATCAGTGATAATGCTCCCCAGGAAAAGACCACAGGGGGACAGAAAATAATGGGAGACTGCGATCTTGGTCACCTCACTCCTGAAATCAAGTAAATGATCTTCCTGAACTAGCAGTAACAAAAAAAGGATCTCCCTAAAGATTCTAAGAACAAATAAGATAACAAAGGACATAACTTTTATTTGGGCAAATGAACTGATGATTTTGGTATTATACAGATCTGAGCAAAGCTTTGTGGTTTGATAACCAATCTGAAACTTCAAAAATAACAACATGGGTGAATGCCTGAAAGTGTCATGGCTCTGTGAATGCCCCAAGAACTCCCTTCCCATGCTGCCCCGGCTCATGCCGAGGCTCCCTCAGCTAAAGGACTCCTCGGCTTTCTTCCAGGAAATTTATGACTTATACACATTCATAAGACAGATCTTCACTCTGATATGATCTGCTCTTGATTGAATTAATCGGAGGATTTTTTTTTTTAAGAAAAACGCTTTAATCTTAATTTGTTTGTACCAGTTCATCTTAATTACCAACTGGAGATTAGAGACCCTTGAAGGAGCGATGGGATCGTGGAGTGCTATGCTCGTTCTTAGACTAACGCGCTGTCAGACATGGAGGGCTGCTAACTGGAGGGGCCCAGGTGGAGTCAGCGGGTCCCTGGTTTCCTGCTTGGGGAGGCACATTGCTCCCTGCCCTCTTCCCTCTTCTTTACCTCCTGGACACCATAACCTGGGCGACTTCGCTATGGCCATGTGTTTTCACCATGATGTTCCTTCCTGGGAACCTGCTGATCATGAGTGGAAACCTTTTGCCAAATAAATCATTTTCTCCCCCATAAGTAGAGCAAGCTGCTTTATCTCAGTGACAAAAAAAAAAAAAAAGACCAATGCATTATTCTTTTGTTTTTGGTTGAAACCAGGTAACTATCATTATAGCAAAGATAAATATTATTTCATTGGTAGAAAAGGAGATAAATTCCCAGTGTTTTGTACCCTAAAAGAATTTTTCATGCGTATTTGGGTATTTAAAAAAGCACAAATCAAGGGCCAGTGGTGTAACTCAGCAAACTAAGCTCTTGCTTAGGTAAGTGCAGGGACCAGGGTTTGATCCCTGGCACTGCATGCTGTGCCAGCCCCACCCACAGGTGTGCTGAGCTGCTGATGGAGTCCGGGTGTGGTGGCGCACGCCTGTAATCCCAGCACTAGGGAGGCAGGAATCAGGAGGAGCACTACAAGTCTGAGCTGCATAGTGAGACCCTGCATTAAAAAAAAAAAAAAAATAGAAATAAATACATAAAAACAACTTAAGAAAACACAAATTAGGCTTTTAAGGATCTGATGTTTACATTAAGACAAAAAAATCTTCTTTACTAAAGTGCTTTTCAGGGAATTAACTGAAACCAAGAGGTACAAAAAAATGAAGAAACCCTAACCTCATAGTGGCCTGCGTAATGGTGTGTTGCGAAGCACACAGGATTGAAAGTCTACTGCAGTAGTGAACTTCTGTTCTCTATGCAAAGCTTGAGGCCTGGCACTTACATGTGTTCTGAAAGAAGTCAAAGTCCTTCTGGGATTTGTTAGCTTGGTTTGCGTAGCCCTGTGGCTGTCCTGCGCCTGATGGGGAGCACCTGGCCATCCAGGATTTCCTTGTCCCCTTTGCTGTGAGGGAGGCCACATACTGCCTAAAGAGACTCACGAGCACAATGGGTGGCCCTAGAAGGAGCCCTAGCAGTTGCATGTGCCAGCACTCGTCCCAGGAGAGGGACAGGCCAAGGCAGCACTCACCTGAGTCTGCTGCACGGAAGGAAGTGGAGCCTCAGAGCCCACAGCTGGGACCAGGGACAGCAGATTTTAATGCTATTAAGTTATTACCAAGCAAGAGAACATTACTTTATTAAGTATGTTTAGAAAAAAGCCGTAACATCTTGTGCAATGCCAGGGACATACATAGAATGCTCTAAATCTATCTATTCCTTCACAAAGTTATTCGTAAAATTTCAGAGTTTATTGCTCCTTTAAAAATCCTTCCTTTAATACATACACACGTTTTATAAATGTGCTTTATATCTTATACACAAAGATTACATACTTTAAGACACAAACCTCAATAAATATTCTGATCACTTGTGAAATCCAGGATGTGGGCTTTTGCCCCGCTCCCAAATCCCATCCCTGGCACCCCCTCCTAGAGCAAGTTCACGGTGACCAAGGAGGCACCACTTAGGGCCTCCTACAAGGACAGACCCATGTATTCTTCTGACTATTTCCATCTGATAAAGAGAGAGATCCTGGGACCAGGGCCTCAAGGTGACCTTGGCCCTGGTCCCAGGATCCCTGCTCTGTCTGTAGCTAACAAACTCTCAAGAGTACACAACACGTATTCCAAATAGTATCCAAAATGACCCAAAAGTCCAAGTTAGGTATCATCAAGCCTTTTATCAACAGGCCACAGATCACCTCTAAGCACCAATTCTTTCTCTTGTAAACAGTTTCTTTGAAGTTTTGTGATGATCCCTTGAGAACTTTGCTCATGGACCATCTCGTACATGCTGTAGTAATGAGTGTGAACTGGCTGGCTGTGGATTCCATGGCATTCTTCCCAATATTTTTGTCCTGAATGGCTAATTTTTTTCTGAATTATTGAACACATAGTTTTAGATTAACCTGGTACTCTCTAAATAACTTACAAACACAAGTGTACACATAGACATTACATATAATACACACATTCATGGTGACATACATAAAACAGAGACTTAAATTTATCACTTACAAGCTTTTAAAAGGTTTCTCACTTCATATTATTTTCCTTTTTACAGTGCTAAGCAATATTTATTCCTAAATTAGAATTTCTGAAGATAAGATTCCTAGCTGTAACAAAGTGAGAAATACATAGATAGAAAGAGATTGCTTACCAGTTAACCTGAGCTTTGAATTTCCAGGGTTTTTTTTTTCTCACTTGAAATTATGGGTCTTAATTAATTTAAAGCTTCCAAGTTTTAAGGCATTTTCTATTGTGCCAAAATTTAGATATAGCTGTCAGAAGT